GGCAGTGGACAAAGCCCAGCCCCGTGAAGACGATGACCTGGAAGCCCTGTACGCCGACCCTGCGTCTGACGTAGTTAGGCCTGTCAGCTTGATGTCTGGCCTGGCGTTGCCTGGCGCGGCATCCACATGGGACGTTCCTGATGAGGCCTACGCCTTCCTCACGCCCTACGTACAGCCCTCCGATGATTTCAAGCAGCGTGTGCGAACAGCTTACAAGGAAGACCCTAAATGGAACATTGTCCTCAACGAGCTCCAAAGGGTGACACAGGACCCCGACCCTATCAAGCCACGTCTACCCTACGAAACCGACGACGGCTTGCTGTATTCAACGCAGGCCGACGGCGACCGGTGGCTGTGTATTCCTGAGGCGATCAAAGATGATATCTTCGAAATGGCACACGGTGACGGACACCTCGGTTTCCATCGCGCCTGGCAGAAGATGCGAGGCTTTGTCATACACAAGGGAGCAAAAAAGCTCCCGGTGTATATCGGCCAGTGTGACGAGTGCAAGAAAAACGCAGTACATCGTCACAAAACATACGGATCACTTCAGCCGATTCTCGCGCCACCGATCCCGTTTCATACGCTGACAATTGACTTTGTTACCAGCCTGTCACGCACGAAGAAGGGTTTCGATGCGGTGGCAATCTACACATGTAAATCCACAAAGCGTATCGGCTCGACGCCCGGAAAGAAGACCCGGAGCGGTGAAGAATGGGCTATCGCGGTCCTCCGTGACCTCCAGAAGGGCAACTGGGGGATCCCCGTGGTGTGGATCTCCGACCGGGACAAGCGCTTTGTTCAAGGCTTCTGGAAAGGTATATCTACTGCCCTACGCACTAAGCTCCTATACACGGCGGCGTATAACCCACAGGCGGACGGCCAATCTGAACGTTCGAACCAAACAGGCGAAATCTGGCTACGCCACTGGCAGAATATCCACCAGGAAGCGGATTGGGACGAAGGTCTCGCGCCAATGCAAGCCTCACTGAATGCCTCAGTCAATGTATCCACTGGCGACTCACCACACAAGCTTATGTTCGGTGTCGATCTACGCATGCCGTGGAATCTCCTCCGTCAGGCTTTTGTCGGATCTCCCCAAGCGAGCCGACAGGACGCCGACGAATGTGCCAAGTACGCGGCTATGTGGATAAAGAATCAATACGATAGCCGTCACAGGCCTATCTTTTTCCAGAAGAATGACTTCGTATACTTACGTCTTGCGCAAGGGACTGAGCCGGGTTATGTATGGCCATCGCGCAACATCACAAGGAAACTTACCCAGCGACATATCAAGTGCCGTGTCATTGAACGCGTCGGACGCCTGGCGTATCGCTTACAGATGCCGCCAGAGCTTGCTAGAGCTCACCCAGTGGTATCATTACAACACCTAGAACGTGCCCCTCAAGAAGGCGATCTCTCTTCAGCTGAACCTCCCCCCACGTTCGACCCACGCTTCCCAGAAGACACAGATCGTGCAGACGTAGACGCGGTCCTGGATATGCGACAGAGGCCGCGGACGGGGTCGATGAAAGCAGTACCTAGTCCGGTGGTCCGGAGTGGGGAATGAACACCTGGAGTGGCTGGATGAGGATAAACTGGTGGGAGCAGAAGAAAAGGTCCTAGAATACCTCCAAGACGTCCTGCGTCATACGCAGGAGTCCACAAATTAATCATACATCTGAAGCGGGCTTGTTTATATTAGCGTTCATATTTGATATACCCTTTGCTGATGCCCGCTCCTTGTTTGTTTATTTTATTACTCTCATGTGTTTCTCTTGCTACTTCTTCTTCCATTCACATCTCTCAGTTCTTCATCAGAACTATCACTGTTTCATCAATTTTTTATCCAGATCTACCCTCAACATAACAGACCAACGCATTAACCAACCCCCAATGCCTCCCCAAACACCTCAGAAGCCAACCCTGGCTCAAACCCCCCAAGCTCGGCAAGGGGATCTCGTCGAGGTCCCCCATGTCAGACACGAGGACGTGGACGCGCCCGCAGTCTCGCTACCACGGACTCTGACGGGGACGCGACAACTAATGCTGGTGATGAATCCAGGCTAGTTGAGGATCACAGCGGTTCGCTTACAGATGATGTGGCTGATGACAATGACCTGGGCCTACTTACTGCGGTACTTAGCCCACCGGATGGTGGTTGGACCACGGACAACCCATAGCCTAAGCTACCCGGCGCACCGAAGACTAACGTGACACGGTTCGCGACCCATACCGAACAATCCTTTGCACTCGCAATATGCTGGTTCTACGATGACTATACCCTATACGCCCTGTGTTGGGATAGATCTAACATGTCTCATCCGATTGACGGACAACGCAATGGAAAGAGACCAGGCCCGTCGACCGGCGGGAAGATCGACAGCTACCTTGATCCGGCCGCCACCACAGACGCCCCTTTCCCCGCACGACCAGCTTGCAATGGACTTTTAGGCACACATCCGATGCTACCGAGGGCGGCAGCACGCTTTCGACGTGGGCAGTTGTGAGGGATGGATGATGACATACGTATTATTAAGCAGCGTACTTATCCTACGCAACAATTCTCTAGTAATAAGATCATCTTTACCACAACCAGGTTAATTCCATAACATGTAGTCCCTAACGGATGTTAGGGCCTAATATATTGTTACGCACTGCCTAACTGGTCACAATTATGTTAGAAGCTTTCCTGGTTATACTTGCCTGTGCTGGTCCTCCAACGTCAATGATCTGTCTCTCAACCGAGCTGTTGCTGCGCACAGTCTTATCCAGCCTAAGTCCTTTTGAGGGTATCAGGGAACGATGCCAGATAGAGCGCCGAGCAGATCTATACCGCAGTATTGGTCTGTTCGTTGGTGTTGTCAAGTGATAATATAGTAAGTGAGTCAACAAGGTCGCAAGGTAAACACAAGTAACAATGTATGATTGAAGACGAAGAACTAAACTAAGTACATGAGAGAGTGTCCTTATATATCCTTCGCTTCCTGGGGTCGCCAGTGCTCCTGGGGGTATATCCTACCCCCCGGGGTAGATCGACCCCTCTGAGTATATCCTACTCCGTGCAGGGATATACTCCTCCTGTGATCACGTGATTGCTTGATTGGCTCTCGGTGGCCCATCTGTGTACCCGGTGGGTCACCACTGATTGGTGACGGGTAGGTCCGTAACAGCTATCTTACTCGCCAAAGAAAACAAGGATTTATGTCAGGGTGCGGG